AAACAAAAAATAACACAAAAGACAAGTAAGATACAACAAGTTGACTGCTTGAGGGAATAGGTCCATTCTTTTTAAGATAATTCAGTTAGATATACACATAAATTCATAATATTTACAATATTTCGAGCGGAAGCCACATCAGACTTAGTTAGTTTTCAGGTGGGTCCTCTATCCTGGTCGAATTGGAATTTGGCGTGTTGGTTTCTGTGGAGGGAGGAAAACCGGAGAACCTGGAAAAAATTTAAACCCTCGGAGCAACGCGAGAACCAACAACAAATTCAACCCATGTATGGCACCGGGTCGGAATCTCACCATTGCGTCATTCCTGCTCCCCAAACAGCTGGTGGGTCTCGCTAATTAGATCGCCCACTTTACAGTTCCGTGCTTAGTGGTCAGACCTTTGTGCCCAAGCGAGGGTAGAGTTGATTTTGTCATGATACAAACCTTGTTTTTTTTCTTTTTTAAAGTAAATTATTGTGTTATCATGGTAATTAATTTCTGATCTCTGTCATCCGAAGGTCAAACCAAACCTCGCATCCATATCATGCAGAGGCCAGGTTACATTTTACAGAACCGTCTAATGGTCTGCTCTGTTCCAGCCTGGTCTTAAAGGTTATATTATTTGGATGATTCTATTACATGCTAAATACTGTTTTTGAGGTGATTTTGGTACCTCACACAACAGTCTAATACAGCCGAACCTCCTTTAAGTGGCCACCCCCTATTAAGCGGTTAGTTATCAAAGTCCCGAGATTACTGTCAGTAAAATACGGTAAAGAAAACCCCTATCAACCAGCCACCTCTATCAAGCGGCCGCGGCCATCTTAAGATCGTCTCGTTGAGGGCTCTCCAATTCTCTTTGCCCCTGTTAAACGCCCACCCAATTTTGGCAAAATTTTGTTTGGAAAGACTATAACAGATAACATTTCGAAATAGAAAGTGACGAATGATTAAAGCATTCAAACACGCTTTTATTATGATTGTCTTCTATGATCACAGAAAAATTAACTCCATGGTGAAAAAATATTCAAATTACACCAACTCCTATTAAACTGTCACCTCCCATTTCCCAGAGAGTGGCCGCTTAATAAGGGTTCGACTGTGTTCAGTGAAATCTCAGCTTTCAGAAGTTAGACAAACAGAAACAAATTAGCTACAGAGAGAAACAAACGGTCAAAATTTGACAAGATTCAAACGGATTGTAAACTACGACAACGAAGTGAATGTTATATACCTTACAGTGAGAAAGAATTATTACCTGACTGTCAAGTTCCAGCATGATCAACATGAAGAAAAACATCACGGCCCAGACCTGGGGCACAGGCAGCTCCACTAAGGTTGCTGGATAGGCGATAAACGCCAATCCGGGACCTTAATAAAATTCAAAGAGGAAGGCATATATAAGGCAATCTGATTAACGCAACAATATGTCAATCAT